TGTTCTCGATGCTTATCACACAACTTGGATGCAACATGGCCCTGCTAAGATCCTATACTCCGATGGGGAAGGAGCGCTGAATAACGATACAGCAAAGGCCATCCGTAAATCCAAGGGAACAGAGCTTCGTATCCGAGCGCGTGGCCAGCACGCCACGACTATCGAAGCTAGGAACGGCATCCTGCGACACCTCATACACGTGATGGGAGAAGAACTGAATAGATTGAATATTCCTCTGAATTTCACTCGTCTCTTACATGAAGCCTTGTTTGCCAGCAGCGCATTTACCTTCTACAACGAAGTGTCTCCGTATAATGCGCTGTATGGCAGACAACCAGCTATGCTTCCCGATTTCCCTGTCCTGGATCATGATCAGTCCGCTGAATCATCAGATCACTCAAGGGAAGAGACAATCAGGAGGGTTAGTCTGGAGGCAATCACGCAGGCCACTGCGGTTGCCAAGACGAACAGGGCTCTCCGTACGAAGACTACTGCTACGGGTGAATTTCACTACAAAGAGGGAGATCTCGTGACTATCATCGCCCGACCACCACGAAAGACGACTGGGGTGGATGGAGTGGTCCATACCCGGTCATCCGCAACGAACCTGACCGAGGCCAGGTCATCGTGAAGGTCGGCAATCGCGAAGTGTGAGTACAGTATCCTGACTCACGACATACGCTGTACATCGAAGCGCTGATGGTCCGCGAGATAGGATCGGACAATACGGCCCTTCGGACAGCATTGGCCTTTATTGCCGGTCTGCCAGCGGGGAAACCCGCTATGACTTTCGGATACCTACCAGCGAAACAGGGCCGACTGCAGATGACTGCTGCGAGCCGGCTTTCGCCTAAGGTGCACTTGGCTCTTCAATATCTCATTCGCAACTATTTTCGCATTGAAAACGTGGTTGCTGTACGACTTGCTAAGAGCCTGACTTAGTTGCCTGCTGCACCATATGCAGACAGCTGTACACTAGTGCACTATGATAACGATGTGACCCCTGGCTTTCATTATTATGAAGCTGATGGCACTGCCTTGAACATCTACGACATCACAGGATCTACACATTCACGCATCATCCAGTGTCTTAAATCCAAGAAGCCGCCTGCTGGATTCGACCGAGACCTCACTAAGTTTGAGGAACTCGCTGATGGTCCACCACCAAGCGAGCCACCTCCAGCAGCTGCTCCTGAGCAGCCTCCTGCGGAGAATGATGGTCGGCTCCCGACCATCATAGAGGAAACAGAAGAGGATCTGGATGTCTTTGTCTTGGAGTCATGGTATGCTGAACTGATGGATGACAGAACACTCCATGAAGCTGACACAGAAGAAGTCATGCACACAGTTCCGACATACATGACAGACTCACAGTGCGTGTTGGTCTCTACGACCTGTGAAGATGTGCAAGGCCACTTGCCGGTGCGGGGTCACCCGCCAGGATACGACATGGACACCTCTTACTACGTCCCTCTGTGCTCCACTGATCCGGACAGCCACCCTACCCGCCAGGATACGACATGGACACCTCTTACTACGTCCCTCTGTGCTCCACTGATCCGGACAGCCACTATGATCTGGACTCCGACGAGTACGGGAAGTACATCGAGCTTTGCTTCACAGCAGACATGTCCAAAGTCGTCCTGTCCGAGCAGCAACACCGATTGTTGGATGACAGCAGCGTCACAACTATGCGAGTATATGTTAGTGCTGCCTCCAAACGTGCCGTGGTCGTCAAAGAAGACGACCTACTCACGAAGGCCGACATTCAAGCGAATCCGGTCAAAGTTTCCAAAGCCCTTTACACAGAATTGAAGACTTGGCTTGACAACAAATGCTTCCAGATGACTGACTTGAGCAAAGCGTCGAACATCATGACTTCACGCTATGTATACAAATGGAAGTTTGTCAAGAACGAGAAGGGCGAAATGGAACGGACGATCAGGTTACGCTTGGTACTCCGTGGCTTCATGGACCTTGAAGCCTTTGATGTCGAAACCTTCTCTGGCACGGCAAGGAGGTCAAGCCAGAGACTGCTCGCAAGTTCTGCTGCATGCAACAAAGCTTGGATCATCGCTTCCCTGGACATCAACATGGCTTTCTTGAAGGGACTGACCTATGGCGAGCTCGCCGCGGCAACTGGCGAGAAAGAGCGTGTGGTGTGCTTCACACTACCTCCTGGGTCAGCAGCTGTCCTTCGCACATTGCCAGGCTTTGAGTCATATGACGAATCAAAGCATTGTCTTCGGTGCCTCAAGCCGGGGACTGGCACGAAGGATGCCCCCAGGGCATTCTCGCTGAAGCTCAGGTCCATCACCAGGAGCTTTGGACTACAGCCTACTTCATACGATGAAGAGTTCGAGATGAGTTCAAACCTCTTGACAGCCAAACACGTTGATGACATCAATATGACTGGGAAGGAAGATTCCATTGACAAGTACGTCAAATGTGTTGAAGATACGTTTGGAAAGTGCAAACTGAACAAGCACACATACACAATTGTGCCGTTCGGTACAACAAGACCGATGATGGGAGCGTCACTCTTGATCAGGACGAATACATCAAACAACTTCGTCCCATCACACATCCAGAGCTCACAGGCGCTGATCCTGAGAGCAAAGCGACAAAGACGATTTCTGATATGTTCGTCAGTCTTCGTGGCGCTCTAGCCTATGCGTTGATCACGCAGGTATGGCTGATGGTCTATGTTGTTTCACTGCAACGTATCCAGGAACCGACAAACATCCAGGTACGACGACTAAACGCGGTTACCAGGAAATTGCAGGCAGGTCCGAAGAAGATCGTGTATCAAGCTATGACTCCAACAGGAGAGGTCGACCTGCATAGCGATTCTGGCTATCGTCGTCTCAACGGAGATGAAGACGACGAAGTCAAAGGCTACGGTATCCGCGGGGCTAACCTGCTGAGGCGTGGCCACACGCAAGCGGGGAAACCCGTCGTGCACCTGGTGGACGCATACTGCAAGTCTCATCGACTGCAGGTGCGTTCGAGCTACTCTGCGGAAACACTGGCAGCAGCCCACAACTTGGAAGACTGCTACCCGACCATTGTAACGCTCCACGAGCTACACTCGGGACCATTGACCCCCACACAGTTGAAGAACATATTGGAACTGGGTGGTCTATGTATCAAAGTCACTCTGACTATTGATGCCGAGTCTGTCTTCAAGTCTTTGTCTAGCAAAGATCTGAAGAAGCCCACAGAATGCACTCTGCTTGGGCACATCAGCTGGATCCGCCAGATGATGGAGCGCGGAATCGTTGAAAGCGTCCAATGGTGTGACACGCGGGATATGACTGCCGATGGTCATACCAAAGGTAGTATTGACCGCGCGTTGCTCCTACAGGTAATGGCCGGTCAGCAATCCTTCAAGCACGAGCTGAAGAAACATACTCCGTATAGGGCGGGCAGGTCGTCTCAGGACGGCCCTGCCTCCCGAGCTAGCGGGGAAACCCGCGCGCAGGTGCGCTTTAGTAGCGAGGAAACTCGCCGGTAGCGAGGCTACTCGCGCGCCCTTGCCTTGTAGGCAGCCGCTGTTGCCTAGCACTGTTTTTTCCGCGTAATGTAGAAATTCGGTGCTTGCTCGTCTCCTCCCCCTCCAACTTTAAACGGAGAGGGTTAAAGGCGAGATGTAAATCGAGCATGCACCGCTGCCGTGCCTGGCTCAAGCCGGGCCCGGCCGAACATGTGATTGTGCCTCACCGAGGCGCACTACTCGCATCTGAGATCGGAAAAGACCTTTCTATTGAAGATGCCCCTTCTATCCTGTACTCCAGATCCCATGCTTCATCTTGCTCTCTTGCTCATGCGGTATGAGCCAAAGCCTGGGATATGGGAGCGCCTAAGGCGGAACATATATCTTGGCTTACCAGTGCGTTTTCGACTCCCAGAGCCCCACGACAGTCCAAGATCACGCCAAGACAGTCCAAGATAACGCCAAGACGTCGACGTCGTGTTCGAATCGCTCTTGGAGTGTTTTCCAACGGCCCATGGGAGGCCCAAAGGACGCCCCGGAGAGCCCCAGGAGCGCCCAAGAGCGCCCCAAGAAGATCCCCAGAGACCCCCAAGAGCGCTCTAGGAACCACCCACACAGCTCACAAGAACCCCAAGACGGCCCAAGAAGGGCCAAGAAGGCCCCAAGAGACTCCCGGGAGCGCCCCAGGAGGCCCCCAGCGCCGAGACGGCCTAAGAAAGCTCGCAGAGAACCCCACGACGCGCCCAGACAGCCCAAGAAGACCCCAGAAGCCCATAAGAGGACCCAAGGGGCCCCCAAGAAGCCCCCAACAGGCCCCAAGAGAACCCCGCGCGGCGCCAGGAGCAACGTCTTTCTCCAATTGCCTCGTACTGTCCTTTGTCGTCGTCGTCGTCGTCGTCGTCGTCGTCGTCGCCCTCCGCATTCGTCCTCGTACTCGCCCTCGTTCTCTTCGTCATCGTCCTTGTGCTTCTCTTCCTCCTCGTTGTCCTCATGCTCCTCCGCGCTATCCTCACGTTCGCCACGTCGTCCTCGTCATCGACTCCTCGTTGTCCTCGCCTTCCTTTTCTTCTTCGCCTAATACGCCCAATACACTGAAGCGGCGCTTCCCGTTCTTGTCCGATCAGGTTTCCTAGGCCGCGCCCGCTGGCCCCATTGTCACCCGACTACCAGATACAGTTATCATTCGGCCCTGGCGAAGAGCAGATAACTTCTCACGGCTACCCTCCCCCCAGAAACTATGATGAACACAAACTGCGGCGTCAGAAACAGCTTCTGCCCACACCATGTCATGCCTACATGGGTGTGCTTCCACTGGCACCGCCTCCACCACCGCGTTCCTGCCTTCAGGCCTGCTTGCCTGCATCCCCCGCTCGCCTCCACCTCCAGCCATCGGCCACCTCGTCATTCCACGCCGTCCCCTCCACCCTCTCCTTACCCGCGAGGCCCCAGAGACGCTCCACTTCCACGTCCACGCCATGGCGGGCAGATTTCGTGGCCGGAAGGCCGCGGGTCAGCCCTAGTTCAGCTACAACGCTGGGATCAGCGCGTGCGAGAAAGGCGAGCAGTGGCAACGGGCTCTGGCGCTGCTCAGCCAGATGCGAGATGTAACTGTGCAGCCCGACGTCATCAGCTACAACGCGGGGATGAGCGCGTGCGAAAAAGCCGAGCAGTGGCAGCAGGCCGTGGCGCTGCTCAGCGAGATGTGGGGACATCAGTTGGAGCCCGAGGCTATCTGTATATTGCAATTCCGCGCGCACGGCTTGGAATTCCTCCGCGTCTGAGTGCCCTCCGCCTCCTCCTGTCCTTCCGCGGCCGTCTTGTCTGTCTTGCTCCCCCTCCTGCACGCCGGCCGATTCGCGCACCGGTTGCCCCAGATCGCTGATCGCTGGTACAGTTCTGCCTCGCCGCCGACCGGAAGAGTAGAGAGCAACGCGAGATCCTCGCGCGCCTCTGGGCGCTCCACGCCATCTCCGGCAGGCCCCCCGACGGCCCCAAAGGCGGGCCCCAGACCCCAGACGGCGCAGGACAGCTCTGACGCTCTCCGGAGGGCGGCAGGGCGGCCCCGGAGGGCCCCGAGCCAGCCCCCACGGCGGCCCGCGAGGGCCCGAAGATTCGCCAAGAGGCTCCACAGACTGCCCACGAGGACCCCGATCGAGCAACCAAGCAAACACCGTGTATCTTCAAATATGTTTCACGCTCTCCCCAGGACGGGCCCAGACGGGCCCCACGCGGCTCCAGTTCCTTCTGAGGTCGCCCCAAGGTGGCCCAAGAGACCTCGCCGAACCCACCAAGACGGCCCAAGAGAGCCCTTGAGACGGCCCAGAACAGGTCCTGGAGAGCCTAAGAGAGCCTCAAGTGGCCCCCCAAGACAGCCCTAAGCAGGCCCCAGGAGCTGCCCAAGAGGGCCCAAACTGGGCTCCCAGATAGCCCTGGACCCCCCCAATGGCCCCAAGACGGCCCAAGAGACCCGAGGGCTCCAAGAGCTGCTCAAGAAGGATTATTCCTAGGTGCCCTGGAGCCATAGTCCCAACAGACTCCGACAGTTGCCACGGAGCTCCCAGGAGAGCCTCCAGCCCCAGCACCTTTCGCCGTTTCTGGAATCCCTGAAGCCAAAGCCTCCCTCAGACGCCAGAGAAGGCACCAGACCATTCCTAGATGCCCCAGAGCCCCCGAAGAGACTCTTATAGTTGCCGAGGATCTCCCCAGAGAGCCTCCCCCCCCGCACCGTGTAAGGTTTCTGGATAAAGCCCGGACCCCAAACAAGCCCCTAGAAAGCCCCTCCCCCTGTTCTCCTCTCTCCTCTTCCTCCGCCTCCTCCTCCTCCTCCTCCTTCTCCCCCCTTCTCCTCCTGCTCTTGCGCATCCTCCCCCTCCTCCCCCCTATCGTATTTCCCCTTGGGTGCCTCCGCACCCCTCTTTCTGTCACCGCTCTCCTTCTCCTGCTCGCCTTCCTTCCCCCCGACCCTCTTGTCCTAAATCGGGCCTGTCCCTCTACGCGGGGCAATCGACCAAAAACATAAAAAATAGTCGGGGGACATTGTATGACTATTGTTGAGCATCTTGGGAGTACTTTTTTATATCATTGTTTTTTTGGTTTAAGCATTTTCGCCCATAATCCCCCTGCAGGGGGACAGGCCCGACCTAGCCCCGGCCAGCCCCCAGGAAGGGCCCGGTGGCCGACCCCGCCCAGGAGCTTGCGGCCTCGCCCTTCCGGGGGTCCCCCGCCGATCTCTCGGCGCTGCATCGCCCTCTTCCAGCTCGAGGCGTCCCCCTTAGGAGGAGTGGCCCGCTCGAGTCGCCCTTCCAGCTCGACGCGCAGAGGAGGGGAGGGGGAGGGGGGAGCCCTTCCTCCCTGCACACACACACACACACACACACACGCAAGCCCCGGCCAGCCCCCACGCCCGACCAGAGGCGACACGGGGCGGGGGGGGGGGGGGACCTCCGCCACGCCTGCGCGCTCGGGGCCGGCGCTCCGACCCTGTTCTCTCGTGTGCCTCCTCCTCCTGAGCCTCCTCCTTCTCCTCCTCCTCCTCCTCCTCCTCCTCCTCCTTCTCCTCCTCCTCCATCTTCTCTCTTCCTCCTCCTCCTCCTCCTCCTCCTCCTCCTCCTCCTCATCCTCCTCCTCCTCCTCCTCCTCCTCCTCCTCCTCCTCCTCACCTGCAGCGCCGGGATCAGCGCGTGCGAGAAGGGGGAGCAGTGGCAGCGAGCTCTGGCGCTGCTCCGCGCGATGTGCGCGGCTGCGCTGGAGGCCGACGTCATCGCTTGCAGCGCCGGGATCGGCGCGTGCGGGAGGTGCGGGCAGTGGCAGCGGGCTCTGGCGCTGCTCCGCGAGATGGGGGAGGAGGGCACGCGACCTAACACCGTCAGCTACAACGCGTGTGTGAGCGCGTGCGGGAAAGGCGAGAGATGGCAGCGGGCTCTGGCGCTGCTCGGCGAGATGAGGGAAGTAAATTTGGAGCTCAGCGTCGTCTCCTCTACAATACTAGTTGCAGCGGGTACGAA